TTTGTTTGGAGTTTGCGACTCACTGCCTCGCACTGGAGATGGAAGATTGAGGGATGCGACAGTGAAGGTTCGTTTCGGCGATGACAATGGACAAGGGAGGGAATGACGACGATGGACGAGGGGTGTAGATGCCGGTGTTGGAGGGAGGAGACAATGGGATTTTAGGAGTCATGGTTTTACGAACGATTATGTATAATCATTGTTGTTTCTTTACTTTATAAACATGCGATTATATTTTTATTTGTAGTCATTAATTAAATTACATATACTTTGTTTATTTTATTTGTTCTTTAAATTCTAGTATTTATTATGTATCGATTATCATAACAACTTATAAACTAATTTCTTTCTTTCATATTAAAAATTTATCATGGCATCATGTAACGTCCAGTTTGATACACATCTTTTCAGGCCCAAACAGATTTTTCTGGCTGAATTGATCGGAAAGACTGTTTGATATGCACAAAAAATGGGTATTTCCCGGTAAGATGTGTCGTTCCGAGAAAGCTTTAAAACTATATATTTCTCGCTGAATAGGCTGGAAAGACATTTGTGCCCCAAACTCTGCCTCTTTGTTTCTTGCATTATTAATTTCTTTTAAATAATGTTTTTAATTTCTTTTGATTGAATTATTATTAATTAATAAATATTATTTTTAATATATAATATTTATGTATTAATTAATATTTTTATTAGATTAAATTTCTTATAAATAATTCTTTTTTAATTCTTTTTAATGGATTAATTCTTTTTATTAGATTATTATATATTAAAAAAATATTATTTTCTAAATATATAATATTTATATATTAATAAATATTACATTGTTTGATTATTAATTTCTTTTAGTTAATTTGTTTCAAATTCATTTTTATTGGATTAGTATTTTTTTTTTTTTTTTTTGATAACACTATCATCATCCTAATATATTTCGAAAAAAATTCATCTATCCTACCACTATCAGAAATAAACAGAGTCAATAAACACATGTTGAGTTTTAAAAAAAAAATTAAATTGCTAGAAAGAATAACGATATAACATTAACTTGAAAAGAAAAACTAAAAACAACTTAATCGGCATTCTATTTGAATTTTAAATGATTATTGTGTAATTTTGATTTTGTATGACAATTTGTATATTTTTATAATTATTCAACAATTTCATCTACCACAATATAGAACAGCAGGGTAATATTGTCATTTTTCATCATTCAGCACATTTAATCAGATGTACAATCAAACAACATGATTTATTTCCAAATCAGAGAACTTTCCCATACAAAACTTTTTCAGACAACACTTTCCAGACAGAAACTATTAAACAGGATCTAAGTCTAAAAAGAAGATAAAATTAAATAACCCCTATATGGATAATAGAAAATACATTAATTTTTTACTACATCCATCGATCAAATCTATATTGTATCATAAAAACTCATGATTTCACCTTACAGTTTAATTAAAATTATTTTTTATTTGTATCATAGGTGATGTTCACGGGCAAAAAAATCTTTTATTATAGATACCTTAAACGAACATAACATTTAAATTTCATGCCACCTAATATAAAACAGTATTATTTTATTAAACTTATAAATAAACCATATCACAATTACACTGTCTACTTGGGTGTCACACAAGTGCTAAATAAACATTTCAAAAAGAAAAGAATTTCCAAAGTCACCAATAATCACCACAAGAGCATACTCCATTACTAAACCTATGAAACCGATTAGCATCTCTAACCACAATCTCTCTCCCAAACACTTTCGACACATGCTTTATCGCATTATGACAATCCCCACAAACCCTAAGATTCTTTATCACTCTAATCGTCACACATTCATCCAAACTCATCAACCCAAAAGCAATCGCCAACTTCTCACTATGATAATACAAAGACCTCTCTTTTTCCTCTTCTTCAACATCAAGCAACACATAATCTGTATCAGGAACATACCCTTCTTCCTTAATCAACTTCACCAAATCCTCCACCTTTTCATATATCTTCTCACTTTCTAAATGTGATCTATCATCCACAACAAAAACATGAGCTTTTCTTTTCACATTAATCCAACTAAACCCCGGATCTTTCTTCACATTCTTCATCATCATCATTCTCCTAGAATCCGCAACTTCACTCCATTGATTCAAACCCGCATATATATTCGACAAAAGCACATAAGCAGAAGCATCAAATGGCTCCAATTCTAGAAGCTTTTTCGCGACACTTTTTCCTGTTTTCATGTCGCCTTGAAGCTTACAAGCATTAAGTAAAGCTCGATACATTGATCCGGAAGGTTGAAATGGCATGGATTCAATCAGTTTCTCGGCTTCTAGAAGACGTCCACCTCGTCCAAGACAATCGACAAGACACGAGTAGTGTTCGATGTCAGGGGTAATTCCGTAATTTTCAATCATTGCGTTGAAATGTTTATAAGCTTCTTGAATCAAACCCGAGTGACTACATGCGGAAAGAACACCGATAAAGGTGACTTTATCAGGTGACAAATTAGCGATGGATTTTAATTCATTGAAAAGTTCAAGAGCTTGTTTTCCATGTCCATATTGAGCTAAACCTACTAACATTGCGTTCCATATAACAATATTTTGGACACGTGTTCTTTTAAATAATTGATAAGATTCTTCTATGTTACCACATTTTGCATAAAAGTCAATGAGTGATGTGTTGACATAAGTGTCAAGAACACAATCTGACTTTATTGCATTCGCATGTATTTGTTTGCCTTGTTCTAATGAAGTTGTTAAAGAGCTTGCTTTGATTAGGGTCGCAAAGGTAAATTCATCAGGAAATACACCAGATTGTCTCATTTTATGGTAGATTAAAAAAACACGATCTTCATCACTGTTTTCTACACATCCTGATATAATAGAAGTCCAAGCTACATCATCTGGAGTTGGCATTTCATCGAACACTTTATGGGCATCTATCATGTCACCACATTTTATATACATATCAAGAAGGCTGCTACTAAGATACAAATCTTGATCAACACCATGTTTTAGAGCATACCCATGAATCTGTTTCCCGTGTTTTGAACTTACTAAAAATGAAGAAGCTTTACACATAGTTGCCAATGTGATCTCATCTGGTTTCTTTCCGTTTTTGTGCATTTGAGTAAAAAGCTCCCATGCTTCATGACTATTCCCACTACTTATAAATCCAAACACCATAGCATTCCATGACGCCAAATCGAATTCACTTTTATCTAAAAACAGAAACTTTGCTTCATTTGTTCTACCATTTCTAGAGTATGAATCAATAAGTGATGTGGAAACAAAAGTGTCGTTTTCAAGTCCAGTTTTGATTGTGTATGCATGATTTTGATCAGTTAAAAGTGAAGAACATGCTCTTAATACACTTGCTAATGTGAAATTATCAGGCTTTAGTCCATTGTGTAAGAGCTTGATATATAATTTAACAGATTCTTCCATTAATCCACTTTGTACATAACTGTTTATCATTGAGTTCCATGAAACAATGTCGGTTTCCTCCATGTGAAAGAATACTTTTCTTGCTGATGTTAAACAACCCGTTTTTGAATACATGTTAATAAGACTATTGGAAACATTAACATTGGTTTCAAAACCAGGTTTTATAGACATACAATGAATCTGTTGCCCTAGTTTTGGATCATGAAGTGCAACCACAGTAGAAAGGGAGACAATGAATGTCACTTCATCATTTCTCACATTTGATCGATTCATATCAAGGAAAGATTTGATAGCAGATGAATGGTTTCCAGATTGGTGATAATGGGACATGGTTTTATTCCAAGATATTACATTTAGAGAAGTGTCATCTTCATTGGTGAAAGATAACTTAATAGCATATCCTTGCACTTGATCCTTATAGTTCTTGGAACTATCATCTTCTTCAGAAAATCCATTAAGAAAGCATTGCAGACTTCCAATGTCTGGACATACAAATTCGTTTCGATGAAAATCTGATAAAAAATGGAATGATTCTTCTTGAAGTCCTGATTTTACATATGCTTTCAGCATCACATTCCATAAGACCACATCCCGATCATGTTCAGGCATTTCATCGAACACCATTCTTGCCTCCCTTACTTTGTCAAACTTTGTATAAATGTTGACAAGAGCTCCAGAAATGAACACCTCCGATTCCAAACCAATTTTCACAGAGTAACCATGAACACATTCTGATGCCCAAACGTAACTTGACATCAAACATAGCTTCAAAACGGGGGCGAAAGTCAGCTTTGTGAGCGAAACATCAGATGATCTGAGAAGAAGCCTAAAAAGACGAAAACCCTCTTCGACGTTACCTGGATGGGAATCGCAGCTAGAAGCGTAGGCTGCTAAAATCGAATTCCATGTGACAAGGTCTCGTTGAGGCATTTCATCGAACAGCCGGCGGGCAGAAGGGAGAGCGCCACATTTTGAATACATGTTGATGAGATTATTGGTGAGGAATCGGTCTGATGTGGTGTGCCCATGAGTTATGATTAGAGCGTGAGTGGACTTTCCGAATGACAAGTCGTTTCGAGCAATGGCAGTGCGGATGAAGGGGAACCATGGTGATTGTGAAGAGGAAGAGGAGGCGATGGTGCTATAGCAACTCTGGGTGTTTTGAGGGGTAACGTCGGAGAAATGTGATCGGAGATTGGTGGCACTGATAGGTCTGAGGGACGAAGAACGTCGGAAGTTATAGTGCCGTTGCATTTGCGACGTGGATGTTACTCTGCATCCTGTGTGTTTGACTGCTCTTCTGCCAAATTAAACAAGAATCCGCGTCAAACACATGTATATGATGTTCTTTGAAATTTTCACCGAAGGCTTGCCCGCTTTATTTTTAAAATTTATATTGTTTAAAATTATATTTTTCCTCTCTACTTTTTAAAATGTTATTTTAATTTTTTTTTTTTTTTTTTTTTTACTTTTGACTTTATAAAATATAACTTTAGTTCCATCTATTTTGTAAATATTTATGTTCATCTTATGTAGTATGCATATTCTAATTTTTTTTAATTACTTTCGTACGTTAAATTAAAATTAAAAATAATTGTTTTACATACTTATTTTTATGTATGTGTCGGTATAAATTCTAATTGGTTAATGTTTCTACATAAATTTAGAAAAAAAAACTTGTTTTTTTTTTAAGTACATATCGGTATAAATTCAAATTTGTCTACATTTTGTATTTTTTTTTAAATGTTTTCGTACTTATTTTTATGTACATTTTCTACATATGAGCCGGATCACATATAATATATTTTTAATTATTTGAATTTTCGTTCTTTAACTTTAAAAAGAGATATCCTACTTATTTATTTTTATATACGTGTAGGTAAATTTTAGTTTCTTTAGGTTTACTTGCTTATTTTTATGCACATTATCCTATGTGTGAATTTGGTAACGTATAACTCGTTTTCATTCGGTGGTATATATTGGAGTTAGTCAGTAATATCAACCTTGTACATTTGTCTACCAACAAATACAATTGTACATAACTTTTATTAATATAATCATCATCATTAAACTTACAAAACGGATTGGTGTTAGGGTGTGAAACCCAACAAATAAAGGGACAAAATATAGTCCAAAAACACTGTTGTATTGCACCAAAAAGCAGTACAATGCAAGCAATATCGATCCTCTGAGATGCAGGAAAAATGTCTATAACTCTTTACGTAATGTACTTTGATCACAAAAGGGGGTTTTATATGCAAGATGTTAAATAATATAAATAACAATCCACTTTGAAAACATGCAGAAAATGTAATAGATTTGTAAACAATGAATTAAATGGTTCCAATTTCAGTTCTCAATGTTGTCATTTAACTTGATTATGCATTGATGTGATTCGTAATTACTATTTTAAGTTGGTATTGAAAGATATTAACACATTCTAATACATCTCGCTTGCCAAGTTATCTAATTAAAATACGTTCTTTGACTAGACCTAGCTTTACTAATTCAACATAACCACACTCTTAGATTGTATTGAAAGTACGCTTTAAGTTCATTAGAAGCTTTATACCAGTGTTCATTTCTTCTCATATACTTGAAAGTGTAAAAATATGTGATATATATTCTACAATAAGAAAACATATTGTTTGTTACCTATCATTAACTATACAAGGCGATTAGGTGTCATACAAAGTCAATTAACTACATAAGAAATCAATCCATATAAGTGGCCAATCAAACATAAATCAAATTCAAGGAATCTAGTTAAAACAAGAACACAATCTGTAACATCCATAAAAATCATGCCAATTTTAAACTTTCTAAAACATTTAGAAACCAATAGTTATTACAAATTTGTTATCAAACTAGTTCTATATCAGAGTATCCCAGTAAACGAAGTCATAAAAAGTGAAGAGTTGTACGATCATGCCTTTGCCTTCCTGCGGTCCTCTGAGGTACTTGAAACTAAAACTGAAACTGTAAGCCCGAAACCTAGTGAGTTCTCCCAAAATACTGATACATAAAAAATAATATACATAATAATAGCGTGCAATGGGTCCACAACTCTACAGACTGGATTACCCCATGGGCCCACAGTGTGACTCTAGCTTGCCTCCGAGCCCACAACATAAGTCTGGTTTGCTTTCGAACTCACAACCTATGACTGGGTTGCCCCCTACATCCCTTAGACTGAAATATAACTGATCAGCCCTCAGTGCGAGTCGGGCATGCTCTCATGGCCCTCAGCTCGCAAATGGAATGCTCCAATACCCTCAAGCCCTTAGTACAAGTCTGGCATACCACTCGGTCCTCAGCTTGTATCTAGTGTTCTAATGAGTCCTCAATATGATTCTGGTATGCCTTCCCGGCCCTCAACTCAGATCTGGCATACTCCAGGGTTTGTTGGTCGTCGCACGAAGCAGTGCAACCTCAACCTACCCACACAACATGTCTACATATACAACTAATTGAACATAAAGAAAATCAAAAAGTAACACATGTAGTTCTATAGATCTACCAAATTGGCATAACAAATTAGCATGTATAACTATCTCATACTCAACATATCGTTAACTACTGGGTTATTAAATCCATTGTGTCGGCATTGGTGCCTACAACCCCTTAGTATAGTGAGCATAACTCAACTCGCGAGTAGTGCTGAAAGAATTGGAAGTCTCCAATCACTATCTCACCAAAAATCCTGAACGGTCCAAAATAATAAATATTAAGTCAATACATGGGATATCAATCTTGACTAAAGGTCCACATAATCCATTTTGACTTTTCTCTCTATTGGGCCAAGGCCCAAATGCCCAATCCATGCTCTTAAAATTCCATACATCCAAGGCTCATTAATGGCCTAATTTTCTCATTTGGGCACAACTTCCTAATCAGGCCTTATCATAGGATCCCTTATCAAAACTGGCCCAACCTCAATTATTCTGAGAGCCCAGTATGTCCCAAGTCCAGTTAGTCCTAAGGTGGCCTAATCCCGAAGCCTAATTTGTCAAAAGTCTAACTGAGAGCGTACGCGAGGTGTACTTCACTGATACATTAGGCGTACTTCCATTTTTCGTTGACCACCATCAGGGTGGTTGACTCGGTATGTTGGGTGTACAGAAACTACACGGGGCATACGCGAGTTTTACCAAAACTTGAATAAGTGCTTAATAGCTTAAGCACTTAAGCACAAACTTCATATCCATTGACGAAATATGCCTAAGAATCATAAAGTCTCAAACTTTAACACTTTGGATGTCCAGAAAGTTCTTAATATATGGTCTTAATCCATTAAGACCTTCCTACTCCATGCATGAGATACATTTAGCTATTGGGACATCCTTTTTATCAGTTAGGACTTCTTCAAGGGTCTGAAAGGACAACTTATCTCGTCCAAATCATATCATGCACCAACTTGGGGACTTTTGGGACAAGAATGGTTCCATAAAGCTAGCATGGCAAGATCTATATCATACAAGCATAAATTTTGAAGCTTTTTTTTTTTTTTTACCTTCTGGAGCTTCTAGGGCACAAAGCAACTGCGGATCTACAAGCTTGTTCTCCTTCTCCAACTTCTTGATGCAACACTTTCTTCTCCAACAAATCAAAACACACTTTATAAGCTCAGACACTCAAGGAAAGGATCTAGGTTTGGGGAAACGGCTCCAAACTGTTGAGGCTGAGGTAAGGAAGAGTTATAATCTCATAAGAGTGTTTATATAACACTCAAACCCTAAATATTAGGGTTTGCTTCTGACGCGAGTACGCTTAGCGTACACAAGTGTACACCCAGCGTACTAAGGTTCGCCTAGTACGCTTAGTGTACTAGTTTTGTTGTCAAAGTTGCAACTTTATCCCTTAGGCTTCTCATAGGCCGACTCTTCTAACCTCAGGGACTACAAATGACAAAATAATAATAGAAAATAGGATTTGGAAATACTTGCAAAATGTTGGGATGTTACAAATCTCCCCCACTTGACCTAGAGTTCGTCCTCGAATTCTACGGGGGTAAATAGATCCAGGTAATGCTCTCGCATCTCAGACTCTGGCTCCTATGTCCACTCAGATGCCATCTAATGTTGCCACTACACCTTTACCAGAGGTATCTCCTTGTTGTGTAGAACCTTCATCTTCCTCTCCAAAAAAGCCATCGGTTGCTCCACATTGTTCAGGCGCTCGTCAACCTGAACATCATCCAATGACACTACCGCATCCTCGTCCAATATGCACTTCCGCAATTGGGAAACGTGGAAAGTGCTATGTATCAGACAGAGCTCCTCCGGAAGATCCAGTCTATATGTGACCTTGCCAACCCTGGCAATAACCCAAAATGGTCCGATGTATCGGGGATCCAACTTTCCCCTCTTTCTGAAGCGAATCGCACCCTTCCAAGGTGAAACCTTCAGTAATACCATGTCACCTACCTGGAACTCCAACTAAGATCGGCATCAGTCGGTGTAACTATTCTACCGAATCTAAGTAGTCTGCAATCTTTGTCTAATCTGTTGAATCTTCTCAGTAGTTTGCAAGACTACCTCTGTCCGTGTCATCACTTTATGACCATCCTCACCCCAACAGACCGATATGGGACATCTCCACCCATACAACAGCTCAAAAGGTGGGGCGCCAATGCTGGAATGATAGTTGTTGTTGTATGAAAACTCTGCAAGGGGTAGGTGGGAATCCCATCTCCCACCAAAATCGATGACATAAGCCCTCAACATGTCCTCGAGGGTCTGTATGGTCCGCTCACTCTGGCCTTCTGTCTGCAGATGATAATCCGTACTAAAATGAAGCCGTGTGCCCAACTCCTCATGGAACTTATGCCAGAAGCGGGAGGTGAAACTAACATCACGGTCGGAAACAAAAGAGACTGGAACTATGTGGTGAGCAACGATCTAGCGGGCATACACATCAACCAGCTTCTCGGCCGATGAGCTCTCCCGTTTGGCCGGGAAATGGACACTCTTGGTCAATCGATCCATAATGACCCATATAACATCAAATCCTTTCTCCATCCTCGGTAATTTGGTAATGAAGTCCATCGTAATCTGTACCCATTTCCATAATGGAATCTCTAGAGGATGCAGCTTGTCATGCGACCTCTGATGCTCGGCCTTGACCATCCTGCAGGTTGTAAGGTCGAACCTTATAATATGATGATGTTTGAAACTGATCCCTCAGCACCAGCATGTAATCCAGCATTAGCATCAACATCAGCGTCAGCATACAAGTTGTTCAGTATATATATA